TCTCGGCTCACCAAACCCACTTTCTGGATGTCACCGTCCGCAAGCAAGGCAACTCACTAACCACTGACCTGTATTCCAAACCCACAGACACCCACCAGTACCTCCACTCCTCCAGCTGTCACCCCAGGCACTGCAAAACTGGCATAGCGTTTAGCCAGGCACTCAGCTCAGAAGAATTTGTTCTAATGATTCCGATTTCTCCCGCCATACACAGATACTGAGGAACAACTTGGTGGCCAGGGGTCACAGCTCTCGCCAAGTTCATCGTGCCATTGCCAGAGCTAAAGCTATCCCCAGAAATCTAGCTCTCACGGAAAGGCCCCTGATGCCATGGCCAAACCCATGATTCCCTTGGTTACCACGTTTCACCCCAATCTCCCTCCCCTTCGCAAAATCACTAATGACAATCATCATATCCTCCATACTTCAGATCGCCTTGCCCGCGCCATCCCCAACGGCCCCACATTGGCTTACAGGCGTCCTCGAAATCTACGGGACTTGATTGTTCGAGCTGAAGTCCCATCCTTAGATGCATCCCCTCCCACCCAGCATGGTACTTTCAAGTGCAGTTCCAGATGTGTTGTCTGCCAGATTCATATCCAGGAGTCTGACTCCTTTTCTGGCCACTCTTCTGTCACTACCCACAGAACCATTGGTAACATCACTTGTAACACCCCTAATGTCATATATCTTATTTCTTGCAGGGTCTGTGGAGTGCAGTATGTAGGTGAGACTAAGAATACGCTCAAGAAGCGTTTCTATGCCCACCGGTCAACGGTCAACACCAAGAAACTAGACACCCCTGTTGGTCATCACTTCAACCTGCCTAACCACTCCATTTCTGATATGATTTTGCAGGGCATTGAATCTCTTGGCCATCGCAAGGACTCAGTTCGCCTCAGCAGAGAGAAAGTGTGGATGAATCGTCTTCGAACTATTCAACCACATGGTCTCAACATCCAACTTGGAAATGATTAATATTTTTCTTCCTCCATTGTCTTCTGTTACAGATAATCCACCTGGTCTTCATTGTTTGTGTTTCCCCATCTTTCCCCATCTTTCATCCCTTTCCACCTCCATACTGTTTCCCCCCCCCCCCCCCGCATAATCCCCCTTCGCTCCCACACTCTTTTGTCCGTTCCCACTCCCTGTGACCTTTGATCCTTCCCCTTTATGGTCCCTCCCCTGTTCATACCAGACCCCTTGTGGTTTACCATCTCCCTTTGTTTCTTTGTTCTCTCATCCACCCTCCCCTGCATCTTTCCACACCTTTCCCACCTAATCCTCCTTTTGTGTTTCTTCTTTCATCCCTGCATGTTTGTGTGCACCCCCATGTTAATGTATGTACCTCTGTCATTTCTGTTTTAGCCTCTGAAGAAGAACTTGCTAAGTTCGCAACGTCAGGCCACATTAATTTTTAGATTTATATATTTCAGGTCCACCCAGTCAGTAAGCAGTTTGCAGCAGTCTTACTTTTTTCATGAATAATGATTCCTGTAATAATGAAAGTCGGTCATCAAAAGGTCACTCCAGGTGTGGGCTACACAAAGAGGGGAAATGATGGGAGGAGTTTATGGAGTAGAAAGGTCGACATATATGTTGCGCTTGAATGGGACAGATGATATGTAGCGGTAAAAACAGGATACAGGCAAGAAAGTCCAAAGTGATGCAGTGTGTCAAGAACATGTAATTCCTTGTAACTGGGTGCAAGCAATCACTCACTTTTTCAAACCGTATTCCTAACATTAGGTGGGCAAGGTGAAGGACAAATGCCAATATTTAATTAATTGTTGAAGTCAGCTCTCAAAATGTACTGCCACCCTGACTTATTAGATTTTTTTTGTTGCTTAGAACCTTCCTGAATCCTCCAAAATTCAATCAACTTAAATAACGCCAATGGCACACCCTTTGCACCTTGTAATTTCAATTTGTAAAATCCACTGTCAATATTGGCCCTCATCCACCCCAACCCCCTAAAAAAATGCTGAACTTTTGGTTGTTGTTTTATTTATTTTATTGACCAAACAAGTGCAGGAGTGAAGACAACTGTATTAAACATGCTGTTGTCTACCCATTCCCTTCTTCCATATGGATTCACGATATATCAATTGAAAACAAAGTGGGGGGGGGGGAAGAGTTCTTCCTTGCATCAAATGCCTCCCCCTTGGATTTTTGGTCAGCTTCTTCTAATTATCCTTCACTGCTGGTGGCATTATCCACCTTAACCTCTGCGTAGATGCTGAAGGATTCTTGGAGGGTCAGGGTTAATATTCTTACCATCTTACCTTCCCCATTGGCAGTGCTCTGACTCGGATCATTGATGCAGGCATACTGGTACTCGATCTGCGGCTGCTGCCCATCAGTCTGCTCATAGCCCCGGGGATGATGTGTCTGTCTCCGATGGCTGCTGTGACTGGGGGACTATGAGGTGTGTTACCAGGCTGGTACTGTTGGGTGCTGGGTCAGTGTATGTGGTGAAGATCTGGTTGACATCCTGGGTAAAAATGGTGGAGTGCAGTCGTTAAGGTTGATAAAATGAGACTTAAACCTGTAAGGTAGCAAAAGATTCAATTTACGACACAAACATACAGTGATAAAATTAGGTTCACAATTAATTATTTTAAAAGGCACGAAGTGTTGGCATTTGACATAATCCACCCAAATCCTTGTAGAACTACCATACCTGCTCACAAGGTACATAAATTTCAAACTGATTAAATTTATTCCATGTTTTTTTTTTCATGCAGATTGTACAAGGGGACCATTACATCACAGCAACGGCATACTCAGTTGTCTTGAAGCAGCACTGAAACTGTGAAGGTTAAAAATAAGTGCGCTTTCAAACACTTAAACCAAAAAAGGTGTGTCTAATCATTCTCAAAAGAATGGATACTTGAGTCAAAACTTTTCGGTAAAAAAACCCCCAGATTTTGTTCAACAAGTTCACTTCATGCTTTTTTGAAACACCCCTCTACAGGGAGTTTATCGAACACTGATATCTGCTAAGAATAACCAGCCCAGGTATCTGTCAATTTCATAAAACTCCCACAAATGCCACTACCTTGTCCTGCTGTCCACTACCTTCAACTTATCTTTATAATTAACCCTAACCCTGCCACATGCAGCACAGTGCGCATCAGTTGGAAAAGTCTGGTGCACTTGGTCTTGTTCCCAAACTCACCCCCAAGTTGATGCCTTTATCCACGTACTTGACCCTGTACGTAGTGCGCCTTGAGGAGAATCTCCTCAGTGAAGAGACTGTCCTGGGAGCAGAATGGACAGTGCAGATGCGGAGCCTTCATCAAGGAGTGGCTACACTCCCTGTCTGTGCATTGTATGGGCGTCCAGTCTGCCTCAGAGCCTTTCGTCTGCACTGATGGATGCGCCTACAGTTGCGAAAAAAACAATTGAGAAAAACTGTCAAGTTAACATGTATGATGTCAAAAAAATGTTATAAAATGGCTACGCCAATGAAATCAGTAGAAATCTCATTTTCTACTCAAATCCAAATCTTCACAGCAGTTTTCAAAGTGGCAGTTCATAAAAACCAGGCATAAAACATTTAACAAAGAAACCACTCGCAGATGGGATCTCTTTTGAGGCGGTGGAAGAGGTTTTAGAAGGCTTTCTTGGAGAGCCAACAGTCACCTCGGAGAGAATGTTTCAACCTGACGCTACTTCTGCAGTTGTGTACAAAGTCTATGGAGAGTCAAGATATTTTTTAAGTATTTCCTAACAAAATTGGAAATGTTTCTCAGTCCAAGATTCATGTCTTATCAATATATCATCATTTTTGCAATTACTGACCTTCATTGAGATGATATACGAAGGAAAAAGCAGCGTTAGGTGGCAACATTCCGTCACCTCTGATGCTGAACCAACACGAGGTAGTGATGTAGAAAAACATTGGCCATTTTTTGCGCACTTAGTACTTGGACCAATTTTTTTCTTGCATAAACTAAATTCTACACAGTTGTGGACTTTAACATTGAAAGAATGACTAATATTAACTACATAGAAAAATAATTTGAACAATATCGAACGTCAAGGAAGCACCAAGAACGTCATCGTCTGCAGATGAGTCAAATTGGCTGCCACGAAAGTCTCCATTGTGTCCTACTTCCTAAACCAATGTGGATTTGTCATCCGACATTGTTATTAAATGCGCGTTTGTTTATATATGAAATAAATAAATTTCTTTCCATTTTGGTAAAAACAACTGCATGCATAATATTTAAAATCATATCATAATTGAAAATAGGAGGTAAATAAAATAAATCCACAAATATTATAATATACTTTTGTCGAAAGTCTAAGAAGCTTAGTTAAATCCTATGCATGGAAAGAGTTCCGAGAATGTTTTGCTGAAAATCATCCGTGTGCCAATTACATAACATTTTACAAATGTATACAGATTCTCCCAAAATAGAAACATTTGCAATATAACTTTAGTATGCCGTTGCTATATTTTTAAAGTTTAGTCGGACTCCCTATTATCGCAGCATCCCTATTATCGCGGAATGGGAAATTTCTCTTTTTGTGTTGCCTAAACTCCTTCAAGTGGCGATTTGTATCCAGTTCACCAGGCATTAAGGACTTTCTGCCGAGTTGTATAAAAAGGATGATTAAAAAATGTTGTGTCTTTCTAGTTTTGTTTTGACTACTTTAGGTATCTTAATTATTTGTGAGTTGTTGCTTCACCACTGTAGCGAACCAGGTTGGCAGTGAAATGCAGTAATAATAGGTGAGCTACAGTGACGCTGTGTTTAATCAATTTAAATTTTTCGGCAGTCTTTTTTTATTATTCTTTACTTCGTGTGAAACAAATATCAACCTCATTTATATTTCATAGGTAAAAATACTGTCCAAAGTATCTCAACAGTTTTTAGACAAAGGTCTGTTAATAATTATTTCTATTGGCAAAGTTATAGCCACAAAAAACATTTCATTTAGTGTTTACTTACATATGCACCCGTCACTGGAAACATTTAAGCATATACTTCCCTCCAGCATTCGAAGTAGAATTCAATATTTTGTGTCGCTCCTGTACGGTGGGGTTCAACACTGCTATATTATTACTTTTTTATTAGTATAGATATAGGCCTAGTTTGATGCTCCCGGGGATTTGTAAAATGTCCAACATAATATTTGCACATAGCCCCTCTCTAGCTCTATTGACGCTCTTTCGACTTTCATTACCTTGGTGAAGAGCCACTCAAACTGGTCAAGGGGAAAACTGAAAAACTAGTGTTCAGCGTAAACAGCTTATTTATTTCCCTTAAAGCCATTTCTCCCTGTGGAAACTTACTTGAGTTGCGTAAACAGCGCCGGCCTAGCCCTCCAGAAAAAAAAGAGAACATGGGTTTAAAGAGTTTGTAAAAATTCGATTCATTCCCAGCGGCGGCTTCGTCTACTATAAAAATTTAAGAAGATTATGAAATTTCCACACAGCTACCCAGAAAGCGTGAGTTGTCAAATAATAATAGACAAATAAATATTGTTGAGCTTCCGTTATGGAAGACGTATGCGTCTCGTTAAAAAAAAAGGATACCAGTTCAATATATGAACCTGAAGCAGTAGGGACCTGCGATGGAGGCCGATGTTTCGAAAGAGCTTGCATGCCAATCGAACGACACATGAGGGCAGCATTCAACAACATAAACACGCGACTGTAAATCTGGCGCTGTCTTCCGAGTGGCCGAAACCTGTTGCCTGTGTCACTTTCTTGGTCAGTATCAGTAGATAATTTTATCTAACCATTTAATAAATGATAACATTAATTTAGTTGTTTATATTAGCTATTGGTGAAATCTGCATTATTTTATTGAGTGAAACTGAAACGTACTGCAAAAAGTGGCCATATCGGACATGATACTTTGAGTTTGATAGACGTACTGCGTTTATTATTTGTATTCAATAGCGTGGTATCTCATTCGTGAAAAGTTTGAGATGCTTAATTAACAATAACAATTAACATTAAAGGACAGATTCCCATATCTGGCCATCACTTGCCACCCTGTGCACAAACCCTTTGAGACTGGTCTGAAAATGTTTAAGTGTTTTCTCAGTTGAGTTAGCTGGAGTTACCCAGCACCTAGCCCGACTGCGTCTGGCCGTACAGTACTATCGCAAGCTCTGTAGTACGGCCAGACGCCCGATGCTTCCAAAAAGACTGAATTTTGTTGGCCGCCGATGTAGAAATTTTGCTACATCTTTTGATCGCGATTATCTTTTCATCCAGGACACAACTTTCCAAAGTTAAGGTTTGTAGTCGAAGAACAACTCATACCTTTTCGAAAAAACGTTCTTTGGTCTCAATAGTTTCATTCATCTGGCCACAAGACGAATTTCAGTCATCAGATTCCACAAATATCGTCCCCCATGCGATCCCCCATGCGATTTCAAAATGGCGGCCGCGCTGTAATGTATGCAATATGCAGGCGCGCCCGCGCAAATCATGAATGTGCATAAACAGTCTGTGACGTAGACCTCTTGTTTTTGGACGTGCGTGCGGCCCCGTGCGGGGCCATACGTCACGAGGTCATACGTCACAGACTGTTTATGCATATTCATGATTTGCGCGGGCGCGCCTGCATATTGCATACATTACAGCGCGGCCGCCATTTTGAAATCGCACGGGGGATCGCATGGGGGACGATATTTGTGGAATCTGATGACTGAAATTCGCCTTGTGGCCAGATGAATGAAAATATTGAGACCAAAGAACGTTTTTTCGAAAAGGTATGAGTTGTTCTACGACTACAAACCTTAACTTTGGAAAGTTGTGTCCTGGATGAAAAGATAATCGCGATCAAAAGATGTAGCAAAATCGCTACATCGGCGGCCAACAAAATTCAGTCTTTTTGGAAGCATCGGGCGTCTGGCCGTACTACAGAGCTTGCGATAGTACTGTACGGCCAGACGCAGTCGGGCTACCCAGCACCCAATTGGGTATCATGGGTTGTCATCTAGATGACAACCCAATGATAAAATGTAGGGCTGGGTAACTCCAGCTACAGTTGAGTTAATACTTCGGCCATTGTGAAGTGCAGGGCCCAGTTCCTATAACTTGGGGAACAAAATCCACTTAAACATTATTTGACCTACCATAATAGTTTGCAACATTCTCAATAAACAGGTTTGTCATAGATAGAGGGCAGGGTTTTGATGTTTTGAGGGAAATTTGGGGGTAAAATGACAATGACGGCGCGGCGACAACATGCGACCCGAAATTTGAGATGGCAATCACCGCGCGATGTTCCGTGAGCATGCATAGCGCGCTGAATCCCAAGGTACAAACCGCGCAGGAAAACCGTGATTTCTACCCCAAGAATCTGTTCAAAATTGTAAAATGGGTGTTATTAGAATTGAGAAAAGGCTGCTTTTGATTGTAAAGGTGAGTTTTGAGCAATAAAAAACATTTTCGATTCTAATTTGATCAAAACAAAACGGGGGCCCTACACTTCACGATCACCGTAATTTTTCCCTTAAATGACCTATCAGCCATCAGAAAATGATATGTCCTAAAAAGTCAAAATTAGCAGGGACAAATTTTGACCCCTCCCCCTAGATATCCCACTGGTCATGGCTTTCAATAGTATACAACTGCTTTATGTGCAGTTTCTTTATATTTCCAGTGTGTTTTTGGTCCAACGTAATAACACCAAAATGGATGAGAAGCAGGGACCAACTTCTGATGATGTCCCAACTGGGGAGGTAACGTCAACCACAGTTACAGAGGGTGATGTTGTCAAGATGCCAACAGATGTGGCCATCACTAGGGATGCTATTCCCAATGAAGATGAGGAGGACAAATCCAAAGGTGACTTGTTATTCTTTTACTTGGTGAGGACGTTTGCTCCTTTGCCAGGTCAGCTAAGTGTAATCTCATTCATGTTATTTTGTCCATTCTTGCCTATTGGAAACTTAATACTTTAACCCAGTGAAATTAATTTTGCTGCAAGATAGTTTTGTTGCTTTCCAGGTAATTTTTATAAATTGGGGGAATGAGGGTTCAATTTCATAAAAATATTGCACCTGTACTTGGTACTTGGTGGTTATCCTGAATACTCCACGTGGAAGTCTAGCAAGGAGGCCTTGGGGAAGTGGAACTAAATTAAATCCTTAAAGGTGTTGTGGTTTGGGGCGTCTGTGGTGTCTTGAGGGAGCTTGTTCCATTTCCGGATAGTTCTGGGTAGGAATGACTGCATATAGATGTCTGTCCTTGCTGCAATTTCTGTGAACTGGTGGTTGTGAATTCTATGAGCCGGTGCTGGTTTGGGGACTATGGATGATGAGTTAATGTGAACTATGTTGTGTATTATGTTAGTAGGTAAGTTGGTTAACTTTCCTTCTCTCTTCCAGTGAAGACCAGCCTAGGGTTGTCAACATGTCGGTCACACTGCTCAGTCTGGAATAATCTCGCATTACGAAACGAGCAGCCCTCATCAGTTGCACTTTTTCCAGGGATGTTATGTTCTTAGCTATGTGAGGGTTCCAAGCAATGCTGCCATATTCTAGGTGTGGTCTGACTACTGCTAAGTACAGCTTTTCTTTGACTGATCTGGATGCAGAATGAAAATTTATTTTGATGAAGTTCAATATACGACTTGCTTTGGAAGTGGCATGTGCTGTTTGGTGATTCCAACTTAGGTTATTCTGAATGATTATTCCCAAATATGTGACGTTGGTTTTCTCTACGAGGTTGGATCCTAACATGGTGTAGTTAGTTTTGCCGGGGTCCTGCTTCCCGGAGATTCGCATGATGTTACATTTGCTGGAGTTAAATTTCATTCCCCAGGTTTGCGCCCAGTGAGCCAAGTTGTCCAGGTCTTTTTGGAACATCAGTTCATCAGTTGATGAGCAGATCTTCCGATATAACAGGCAGTCGTCAGCGAAAAGGAGAGTTGTGCCAGTCACTGATTTGCTAATGTCATCAATGAAAAGTAAAAACAGGTGGGGGCCAAGCACGGTGCCTTGTGGTACGCCACTGTCGACACTTTGCCATTTCAAAGATTTTCAATTTACCACAACTCTTTGTGACCTGTTGGTTAAGAATTCCCTGATCCATCTCTGTGTTTTTCCCCTTATCCCATTCATTCATTCGTTAGACATAGGCATTTGCCCGTGGTCTCCTCCTCAAATTATACACAGTTGGGATCACTGGCGCCGCTCCCACCACAGCCCGTCTTTCCAGTGCTGCTGCTTTCAGTTCGTTGGTATCACACCCAGACCATTCACGGATGTTGTCCACCCAGCGCATCTTTGGCCGGCCCACGGAGCGACGACATCCCACTGGCATCCCATCCACAACAGATGCCGCCATGCCGGACAACATGGCCCAACCATGCTGCCTTTCGTTCCATCACTGCTGAAGCACCACCGGTCACCGATCATCTCCATCAGTCTTTCATTTGTCACATGATCTTGTCACTTGATGTTGAGCAGGTGACGCCAAATGGTTCGGCCAAAACTGTCTAGGCGTTTGATGTCAGCTGCCTTCAACGACACGGTGGTGGCACCATACAGTACCCTTGATATGACTAGGGCCCGAGCAAGCTGTACCTTTACCAAGGTTGATGCGGGGGGAGCGCAGATACTTGCACTGCCGAAGAGTGGATCTGCCCATACCTAACCGCATCCGAACCTCCTTGCTGTCGTCTAGTGTGTGGTCGATCAACACTCCTAGATACTTGAAAGATGTGACATGAGGTATTTGTGCCGAGCGGTATGTGATGGTGCTGTCATCGGTTGTTGGCTGGATGATCATATATGCAGTCTTACTAGGGTGGATGGCTAACCCATACCCGTCAGATATATCACCCAGGGTAGTAAGCATCTCTTCAGCATCAGCTCTGCACAGCGCCATCAGTACCAGGTCGTCAGCATATCTGATCTCCTTTAGGGGGATACCACTGACATCTGGAGCCGTTAGGTGTGCTGTGCGATTGTACCACTCTCACATGAGACACTCAGTGTAGAGGCTGAAGAGTGTTGGTGACAATGGACAGCCTTGGCGTACTCCGACTGGTTTCTCAAACTCGTCTGTCATCCGACCTTTCCACCGGAGCTTGCCATTTGAGTTGATGTAAAGATCCTCAAGTAGCCGCATCACATCCTCCTCCACGCCAAGAAATCGTAGCTTTGCAAACAGAAGTGCATGATTAACTGAATCAAATGCCTTCTTATAGTCAACAAAGACCAGATGGAGAGGGCGTTTTCCTGCGTAGTGCGATTCCGCCACACCTTTCAGGAGGTAGATTCCATCAGTTGTGCCTTTACCGCTTACAAAGCCACATTGGGTGTCACTCACTTCGATGTTAGCGGTTCTTTCCAGTCTGCGTTGTATCACATTCAGAACAATTTTGCTGGCATGACTGATTAGTGCAAGTGTTCTGTAGTTGTTGCACAAGCCTCGGTCACTCTTTTTGTGCAACGGGATGTACACTGACTTGGTCATCGACTGTGGCCACTTTGCAGAGTTCCAGATGTTACACACGGCCCCATGAAGGGTTTTGAATATCTCTGGGTCCTGTGTCGCAGCTTTAAGAGCTTCAGATGTGACGCAATCAACTCCGGGAGCCTTGTGGTTTTTCAGTGCCTGTATGGCTTTCTTGGTCTCTTCCGGTGTCGGCAGGTTTCGTTCAACCTCAGTTGTGTGATGGGGTGGACGTGGCCAATTGGACTCAAATAGATCTACAGCATACTGATGCCAACGCTGTATTTCTTCTTCAGCTGTCTCCAATACCAGACCGTTTTCTGAAGGAGAACATCAGCAGTTTTGAACAGAGTTCTGCAATTGTGATTCTGGTATGCCTGGTTCAATGTGTTGATATTAGTTACCAACCATTCGTTGAGATCTTTCTGGCATGCATGTTTGACCTCATTCCTCAGAGCTGTGAATTCTTGAGTGCCTACAGCCTTCCTCTTGCGCTGAATCAGATGAAGAGTTAATTCAGACAGGTACGGCTGTTTCTTCTGGGATGTTTGTGTACCACAGGTCCCAAGAGATGCTTCGTGTATGACACATGCGACAGCTTCAAGAGAGTCACCTTGAGTAACACGGGATCGAACCAGCTGCCGAAAGACTTCAGACGATTGTTCCGACTTCAGGGCTTCAACGTTTGGATGTTGAGGTCGTAGTCCACGTGCAGTAGCATGATGACGGAATTTCCACTTCAGGTTGCAGATTACTAACCGATGGTCAGTACTTATCCCGTAGTAGTCTAATGTTTGGACCAGTTTTTGATGAGAAACTATGTTGAATGCTTTGGAGAAGTCAAGTACTGCCATTTCTGTGGTGATTTGATTATTGTAATTGTAGGAGATGTCATCCAGAGTTGTTACGAGTTGGGATTTGCAGGACAGGCCTTTACGAAAAGCATGTTGGTTTTCATTCAGGATGTCGTGTTCCTGGAGGTGTTTCATTTATTGGCTATCAATGATGTGCACTAATAACTTAAAGCAAACAGAGGTCAACGACACAGGTCTGTAGTTTGCCGGGTCTGCACGAGAGCCTTTCTTAAAAATGGGTGTTTCGTTGGCTTTCTTCCAGTCAGATGGTAGAGAACCCAGGTCAAGTGATTGTTGGAATATGAATGCGAGTACTGGGGCAACTTCATTGGCAGCTAGTTTCAAGTTGAGCGACGTCAGTAACTTGAGGACTCCGCTAACAGACACGGTGATGTTTGTCAAGTCTGAGTAGGGACTCGGTGGTAGAACTGGCTGTACATCGGTGTCATCCCTGCTGAAAACACTACAGAATTGGTCTTGTAGGGTTTCAGCTTTTTCTTGGTCAGATGTGATATTTTTCCCGTTGAGTTTTAGAACCTGAACCCCTGTGTTGTCTTTACGAGTGCTGTTTACGTATCGCCAAAATTTCTGGGGGTTATTTGTAGATGTAGTTTCTTGTAAATGTGTGCGTTTAGCCCTTCGGATTTCGCTGTTCACTTGCTTTTGCAAAAGTTTGAATGTAGACTGCTTGTTACTGCCTTCACATAGCTGCGCTCTTTCTTCCTGCAGCAACGGATTAGGACAGTAGTGAGCCATGAGGGTCTAGAATGTCCCTGGACTGGTTTTTGTGGTACTAATTCGTTAGTTTTCAGCCTGTCCCTAAAAATACTCCAATTTGCCTCAACTGTTCTGGTTTCTGGAGATGACTGCATGAATTCAGTCTTAAGCTCGAGGACAGATTTTTTCAGCTTGGATTCATCCACGTCATTCCACTTGAAGATGGTCCTAGGGGGCTTGACAAACTTTTTTTGGTCAAACTTACCGAGACTATGGGTACTTTTCCCATTTTAAGTCCAGTGCAGACAGCCTAGGACGTTTTCCTCTCAGTTACTTTTCCTGAGTCCAGCGGTTACTTTTACTGGCCAATTGCTGCCCAGGAAAACTGACCACGCGCCCAGGAAAATTGACCAGGTCACTTTTCCTGAGACGATAAGTCCAGTGCGGACAGTGCGAGTCGGTAAAAGCGGCTCAGGAAAGTGAGATCCGGCCCGAGCGAGAGTATCATGCATACAGAGACCGCACGATCCCACACGTGATGTGGCCCAACATTTTGTGGAAACACGTACCGGTACGCTGCGGTGTGTCAAGTCCGAGCGGTAAAATCTCGTTATAAATATATTTTAACGGAGAATACATTCACAGAAAATATCAAGATCACGTTCTGGGGAAATACTTTGCAGTTATTCTTTTTCTCCACCAATGTTTGTTTTGTATTTTCTACGATCCAAATTCGTCCTGTTACGCCGTGCAGTCTGCATGGCACCGTACGTAGGCCGCAGTCCCTGGTTCCGGTCCTACATCATAGCTTTGATTCTGTTAGCATGCGGTGGGAACCAGCGATTACCGATGGAACTGCTGCCGTATGGCTTCGATGTCGTCCATCACTAATGCGTCAGAATAGTAGGCATTTTCGTCAAGATTTATCGTGTCAATAAGGGAATAACAGTGTGAGGAGCCGGTCTTCACTGCGTGATAATGACCGGGTGTGGGGGTAACCGCTGTTAATGGACCGAGATGAAGTCGAGGTCCATTAACAGCGGTCACCCCCACACCCGGTCATTATCACGCAGTGAAGACCGGATCCTCACACTGTTATTCCCATTAATAAATACCTTTATAACGAAATAAACAGTTAAAATGCTCCAATTTTGTGACTTTTTTCCGGCGATATTTCCAGACTTTTTTGTGTTCATGTTCATGGGCCATATTTTAGCTTAACAGCTATAACGACGTAAACTCAACAGAAACTGCTGCCGTAGCGAAACAAATTACAACAATGTTTTCATATCTTTACCTGATGGAGGAAGCTGAAATCTCGTTTACACATTCCTTGTGTCCGGAATTACAAAGATGCTTGGTTTAGGAAAGGTAAATATGTCGGTGGGTGAAGTGTTTCAAAAGAAAATAAATCGTAGATCTATGCTTTCGTTGTAAACATCCTCAGTATATACTGCACTGCTGTACGATGTCGTTTCAAAACTTCCTTACGCGCACGCACGCATCCCTAGCAACTGTGTTGCGTACGCGCGCGGCAGTCTCACGCGATGGGGGTTGAGCGCATGTGCAGTGCTCAATTGTTAAAAGCTACCGCAGGACTGTTACTATATTTTGACCAATCATTGGCTTGCATGGGGCTTAACGGGGCTTGATCAATGTTGGTTCAGGGGCCATTTATTCGCTTGATCTTTGAAGCCGGTCCATTATCACCGTTAATGACCGGCCACGTGATCGAGTCTCGACCAATCAGAAACCATCAACTCTCCAAGGTATTTATTAAGATGAAATAACATCGTATGTTACGATTATATTGTGCATTTTAATGGTGTGTGTAATATTATACTGTGCGTATCGGGGGCTGAAAAAAAATGTGATCGGCATTTTATTTCCTGTGCACGTGACTGTGACAGCTCGGCCACTTCTCCCACGCGGTCTGGGTAAAATTTCCCGTGTCGAAAGTCCAAGTGCGGACGTGGTCACATTTGACCATTTCTCATTTTACCATCATCTCGGTAAAACCTTCCAAAAAAAAGTCCAGTGCGGACACGGCTTAAGATGGAATTTTGCGTCGGGGTGATGTAAATCAAATTGGGTTTTGCCCTTCACCGACTATCCATTTTATGAATAGTTAATGCAGTACCTGCTGCTATGTACATCAGATTTGAACCAACCAGCTCGGTGGTCGAGTGGTAAGATGTCTGCACTAGAAAGTAGGAGGTTGTGGGTTTGAGTCCCACCCGAGTGATTTTTTTCCAACTTTTACTCGGGAGGTACCACACTGAGTATACAGTGTTTATACATCGGTGAAGGGCAAAACCTAATTTGATTCATTCTTTTGTTGATTAATACAAAGCCCATTAAAAAAGGCAAATAAAAATATCAAAATATTATGAGGCATCAATAAAGTATCAAGTATCAGAAAAGCATACTAGTTCAAATACCAGAATGGTGATAGTACGTAGCATTATTTGTGCTTGGCAGTTTTGAATTGCGCACACAACAGCAGCTTGTAGAAATTGGTCATTTTTGTGAACCGTCCAAATTAAGATATTTATATATAGGTTTATCTCTAACTTTACAAAGAGGTTCATATTTTAAAGCATTAATTTTTTTTTCAGGTACTGTGTACAATTGTTGTACATCTATATTAACAGTATTCAACTTTGGGATGTTTTTTATTCAAAATTTGCAATTCATTGATCTGTTTGTCAGTGTGAACTGATTTTGTTGTGCAGTGTCTCACTTGAAAACTCATAATTAAACTTACAAATATCTCATGCTTAAAAAAAATCAAAGTAAATTTATTTTCTCTGATTGGAGTTGGTTTTTTAATTGTTCGTTTTTGTCTATCAGGTCTTGACCCACAAGATAACCATTCCACCAGCACCTCTGACGTACCAGTGACTGGCGCTGCTATAACGGATCCTTATCACTATCGGACACAACAGCACTTCACCTCAGAGATCTTCAAGATTGAGATCCAAAACCTCCCAAGACATTTTGGATTTGTGGTGAGTTTGCTCTCTAAGCATTCAACTCTCGATAATGATAATACAGTTTGTGCTCTATTAAGAGTTCACGATGTTCTCCATGGTGAAGATTTCTCAGGGTCTTTATGTAATTTTGTATAACAGAATTTAAAGGCAATTGGATGAATTTCACTAAAACCTGGAAATATCCTAGCCTCATGTCTATATGAAAGTAATGGTAAACTGCATGTAGAAAGTTTTGATGGTGGGTGATATTGGTTGGTCGTGAGTGAGAGCTCCCTCTTGCGGGGGTTATCGCTGCAGGGGTTATCGCGTATCAAACCATAATAACGTCTAGCCCCTAGACTAGGTATGTGGGGCTGTCTGATGAGATAGGCATTGGTGTCTGTGGTTATCACTTATTGCACCATTGGTAAAAACCTAGCCTATTCTATGGCCACACACTGGAGTAATCTCTGTGCTTAGGGCCATACAAATGTGAGCACAGCAAGTTGGTAAAATGATGCACATTTTTCATGGAAATATTTTGGCCTGATACTTGGCATAGGGGTTCTTTTTACCCAAGCGTCCCACTTTGTGCCGAAACCTCATATGGTTCAATACTTTGAGGTGTCCACTGGAACGTAAATTGTCAAACAATTGGCCATGCACAACGGCCAATTCAAGATCAACACACAGTCTGGCCTGTATGACTTCACAGACTTTTGTGTGTGTGCAAAAGCAGAACGTTACCCAGAGGTGAGTGGAGGCAATTTTGACCTTTTAACCCTAGAAAATCCATCAGCCCTGCCTGTGCATAAAAACAGCCAGTGCGTCTTATCACGTCCTCTGATGCAAACTGGTTAAGATGTTACTTTTATTGTCAAAAGAAGTCAATTTGGTATCTTTATTTTTTGTTGGTATTCAGGGAGACATCAGTTCCCAGCTCAACAGCTCCACCAGTGATCTTCCTGACCTCACCAGACAGTTTTTTTTTGTGGTCTGTTTCAAGTCGATCATTAGCCTCTGTGAATGACTGCTGAATCTACGAGGTATGTAAATGAAATCTGAGGTGGGATATTAGAGGTGAAAATGAACAATTTTTGAGAGGCCATTATTTTAGGGTCTCTTGCTACCACACTCTAGCGATACATGTGAATGAATATTATGAGCATGTCAGCTGGAGTTACTCCAGCTAAGTTCTAGGGGTAATTGGCAATGACATAGTCCCATGATGTAACTTAGCTTGAGTAACTTCAGCTCTAATGCCTATCGCATTAGAGCTGGAGTCGAATGTCAGGCAAGTCGACCCTTGAGACAACTCGACTCGAGACAAGTCGACCGTTGAGACAAGTCGCCCGGTTTGACAACTCAACTCGGCAAAAACAATGTCACCGTGCACGGCGCGGCCACGTTGACCAGGGATGAGTGCGCGCACAGGCCCGGCTAAAACGATGCCACCGTGCACGGTACGGCCACGTTGACCAGGGATAAGTGCGTGCACAGGCCCGGCTAAAACGATGTCACCGTGCACGGTACGGCCACGTTGACCGGGGATGCGCGTGGCCCGGAAAAACGGACGATGTGCATGGTCAATCACGCTGCGCTATATCGGCTCTGTTTTTTTTTTTGAGATACAACAAAAAAACTCATGTGTCATAACTCCCAAACGGCGATCAGCCGCCGTCAAAATTTCCGGTACTATCCCCAAAACTAGGCCCCAAAACAAGTGAGTCGACTTGACTCAACGGTCGACTTGTCTCAGCGGTCGATTTGTCTTTCCATTTATCACACATATGGTCGAGTTGTCTCAATGGTCAAGTTGTCTCAACGGTCGACTTGTCCCGAGTCGAGTTGTCTCAACGGTCGACTTGTCAGACCCCCCTGGAGTCACAACTACGTTAAAAGTACCGGGTCGTAAGAGTCCCGAAATCTCGTACTCTGTATCCCCAGTGCATTACAAAATTCAAGATTCCATAATTCATACCTCGTATTTTTCCAACGCTGGTCGGCCGACCAGCGAAAACTGGCTTTTTTCAAAAACTGCTTACAAACTCTTTGCTGCAAAAACTGCAAAAACTATTTGCAATTGATTACACACCTGTGAAGGGGTACAAGCCTGCTAGACTGATTCTCTGAACTTACAATTCCCCCAAAGTCTATAAATTCTCCGTTTCATCTGGGGTCAAGTGGGGTCAGGGAACCAGACTACAAGAAAATGAATGATCTTCTTGGTTTTTCAAGCCCAAAACATGAAACAAGTCATTTTAACAATATTTGCCATAACATACTAATCCTCCAAATCCATTTGTTTCTGAAAATTGAAGCAAAAGCAAATGTTGTACATTCCCTTTAAGTCAAACAAAGAATCCATTTCCCTCTGTAGTATAGCAATGATGTACAACCCTGCCTAACTCAAAACTCTGCTTAAGTCGAATTTTGAACCTGTTCCCTTGAAGTTTGACATATTGAGATTTTACTGTATTTCAATTCTTTTTTTTCCTGCAGAAATCTGATTTGGATGTTCTCATTGAAGACGGATACTGTGAGCTGGAAATTGTCAAGGCTCTAAGGGTAAGGAGCTTATCCGTTGTCTGTTTACTTGTAGCAGGCCAGTGAGGATGCAGAACGTGGATTGACCTATTGCAGTAGAATTGTGTCAATGCAGCTTGCAATATATTGTCCAATTACAGATTTACGAATGGACACGGAACTCGCAAAATCTGAGACAAACAAAACGTAGTGTACAAATATTCCATGGGGTTGTCTAAAGGGGCGTGGCTAACTCACAAACGGCGATAGGTCAGTTGGGATGGCGTTGTTGAATTTTGCCAGCCAGAGAGAGACATTGCTAATAAGAGTTTTTTTTTTCCCCGTTTTAGTCTGAGCTGCGAGTGAACCAAGAGACCCTGCTGCATCATCTAGGAGAGGCCTGGTCTGCCATGACTGTCTGGACTATACCCCATGCCAAAGAACCTGTCACCTTGACCAACGTCAGCCAAGTCCAACTCAAACTAGGTAGGTCGACAAAACAGTGGGACGATGTGGCATGTAGTCTTGAGTGTCGTATTCAGGATCTGCTGGTAATTGTGTAGGTTATGGGTTGGAGTCAAACCTGGGGTCGTGGTGCGTGTGTCCGTGCGTATGACATTTGGACACTCATTGCTTCTCTCCAGCCAGGAGTAAATTTTGTTTTGCACCTTTTTTTTTAACCAGTTCAAAGTGAAAATGCTGCTGTGACTGTCAATGCCATGAACCAGGTTGGAATTCTGAAGAGCAAAATGCACGTTTTCGGTGAGTTTCTTAAATGTTTGTCCTCTCTTTGTGGCTTTTTTTCATCACCGAGCTTTGACAAACCAAAAGTACGTTGACTGAACGAATGTTTATCATCCCATTTGAAACAGACTTCGCTCATTGTATCCTGTAATTCCTTTGAAAATGTCAACCACAAATTTACTTATTTTTTAACAAAAAGACTAAATTTCCCGTTTTCAGGAAAGAAACTGATGGAGTATATTCTGAAGCCGGTTGTGACGCTGTCAAATGTTGCGCCATCAATTAACGCAGCTAAAAAGGTACTGTCATTCTCAATAAAGTATTAATACAGGTGCATTTTTTTTCACGAGAACAAGAAGAAATGAGTATTATGCAAATTATACAAGTTTATAAGCATACAGAGTTTATAGGCACAGAAAATCAACCCTTTACGCTGTTGGTTGTGGGTTTCCCCAGTCGGGTTTTGCCAGCAGCTATGTGGTGTGCTTTGGCCTTGTGGTTAAGGGCATTGGATTCATGGTCTGTGGGTAAAGCTGCAGGTTGTAGGTTTGAGTCCAGCCTGGGGTCATGGTGCATGTGCCCTTGAGCAAGGCACTTTGTCACTCATTGTTTCTCTCCACCCAGGAGTAAATGGGTACCTGTGAGGGCAGAGATGGATATTGTGATTGAATTAGCTTCCTTGCACCTAACAGGCTGCATCGAGCTGTATACTCCCCAGGGAACTGAGATGATACTGGAATATTTCACTGGCCCAATGAGCAGGGGTAATAATGATGTAGCGCCTTGAGCACCGGGCCTGGTGGATCAGGCGCTTTATAAATACCCACTATTAAAACTATTTTGATTATTGGAAAATTGTGCTAACTTAGTATACAACGCCTCATTGAATAGATTTGCTGATGCTTCCTATTGTTGCGTCACAATTTAAGAAAATGCTGTCCCATAAATTGTAAGCTCTTTGCTGCACTGACTGCTTATGATCTCCCTGTGATGGACACATCCTCTGTTAGCAGAGAATAACATGTTAAGCACGAAGACAAATTTCTTAGAGCTGCTATTAGCAGAAAACATTGCTTAGCAATTATTTTTGGTAAGCAAAAAATCAGCTGGGAAACAGTCCAGGCAATGACATTTTGACTGATAACTTGTTGTTCCTAATAACAGCTTGTAGTTTTAAAGTGCTACATCATTATTACCCTGCTCATTGGGCCAATGAAACATTCCAAAGACAATCTCAGCTCCCTGGGGTGTGTAGCTCCATGCTGCAGTTTCGGGTAAAGCAGCTAATTCAATCACAATAACCACCTCTGCCCTCAGAGGTACCCATTTACTCCTGGGTGGAGAGAAACAATGAGTGACAAAGTGCCTTGCCCAAGGGCACACGCACCACAACCCCAGGCTGGACTCGAACCCATTACCTGCAGAATTACTCTAAGACCACGAATTCAATGCTCCAGACCACGAGGCCACAGCACTCCTCAGCAAAACCTTTTTTTGTGCGTTTAGTGAATGAACGTGCTAACATCTTCTTTGCAGTCGCAGTCAACCACCGTTGGATTCAAGGTGCTACCCAAGAGCTCTGAGGAGCCGTCCAATCCCGTAGCTGTGTACAAGAGCACACTGGCAATACTGAAAGCACTGAGTGGGCCGTTACTTAGCCTCAAGACAGAGGGTAAAAACGGAGATGAGAACACTACGCTGATGGCTATGCTAGGTAGGGACAATCTCATTAGCAAATTGGAAACAGCTTTTGTTTTTTTCCTAAGAATTTTTTTTTCTTCCTTTTATTCTTTTCCCCAATTTTGTCTATATTTTGTGACAACATTTATTGACCAAATTATTTTTGAAAAGCATACTTGGTTTAAAGATTATAATAGCACTAAACTCCCTGTGAAATTATTCTTTCTGGCATGCTGTCATTTTGAAGAAAACAATATAAGAAGGTCATTTCCAAAGATGGGTCAAGTGACGCATTTTTGGAAATTTCCGTTTGTAATAATAATAATAATAACAGGTTCTTATATAGCGCTTTTAACTAAGATCAAAGCACTTTACATTATTATTACCCCTAATCATTGGGCCAATTAAACATTCCATATACCATCTCAGCTCCCTGGGGAGTATACAGCTCGATGCTGCCTGTTAGGCGCAAGGAAGCTAATTCAATCACAATAACCATCTCTGCCCTCACATGTACCCATTTACTCCTGGGTGGAGAGAAGCAATGAGTGACAAAGTGCCTTGCCCAAGGGTACACGCACCATGACCCCGCCAGGACTCGAACCCACGACCTGCAGCTTTACCCACAGACCACGAATCAGTGCCCTTAACCACGAGGCCAGTGGGTTTGTAGTTGTGTTTGTAGTTGGTTTGTAACACGCACACGCTCGCGCGTTGTTGCTATTACTCGTCAGGTTCAGTTGCGCGACATCTCATAGCTGCAATCAGCTGAATGAGAATGTGTCCCGGATACTGATTTCGGGTGCAATTCAAACTATGAATGGGCAACTTTTGAATTGAAATGAAGATCCTAGAATATTGTTTTCTCGAAATATACAGCATTCACAGAGCTAAAACTTCATCAGGTCAGTTGTAAAGCATCTGTCTATAGATTGTGAGCACTTTTGTTGTTTCAAATGAAGCAAATTGCAAATGTTCTTATGAATGAAAGGTTTGCGGAAACACCTTGTGGGAATAAGTTTCTCAAACTAAAGAGAATGGTCAGAGCACACTGACCAGAACGTTGAGTTTATACATCTGGTTCTTTCCAGAACCATTCACTTTAGTTTGAGAAATATATTCCCACATGGTGTTTCCGTAAACCTTTCATTCATCTCCACCATGCAAAGCCTCAAATCTTACTTTCACATGATCTACTCTGCCTTTAATTGTAAGAGATCTTTCTGTTTCTGATCAAATAAGTGTCTGTGAAAGTTTCTTATTAAAGAGATCTTTCTATTCCAGGGTTTATTGCAGAAACTGCTTCTCCACTGCTGACCTACGCCAGAGATGTCAATGTCCATTTTGCTAACGAAAAGGTATAAACAATATATTTTTTTTAATGTCTATTATTTTTAAAAATCTTGTGGGAACATTTCTTGAATGGCAACAGTTGGACTGTTTGGTCCCTTCTGAATCTTTGGTTCATCTCATTCACATATGACCCTCCAGCAAACCAGTCGGATATTGTACGGCCGTATTTTGAAATGCAACCTGTAATACATAGAATGTTGATGATATTTGGGAACTGAAAAAATCAATAGCTCCGTCAGATTTTGTCCGATTCCCATATTCTATACATCATTGGAAAGTTCATTTAATGTCCTTTCCAATAATCTCAAAATCCTGGTTTTCAAAAATTGGCTCTGGTTTTGTGCTGGAGGGTGACACAATTATTGTGGAATGCATCAATAAACTGCTCTGAACTTTGGGGTAAAAAGCGTGTTTGCCTTCATGACAAGGACATTTCTAGTCTCTCGAAAGCCTATGATGAAAACTTTTTGTAATTTTTCCCAGAGTGGACTTAAACACAAATGCTCCTGCTTAATGCAATACTACAGCAATCCACCATATTCTGCATATTTTGAATCTTCATCAATTTTTAACCTCTTCTTCAAACTTTTGTTCATGGATGTAGTCCAGTCCATCACAAGTCCTCCAGTCCCAATTCAACCCACAAGCAATTCACAAGAGTTTTGACAAAGGCATTCCTTTATTGTTCATCCACTGTTACTTGTGACTGGACTTGTGACTGGACTTGTGACTGGACTTGTGACTGGACTTGTGACTGGACTTGTGACTGGTCTTGTGACTGGTCTTGTGACTGGACTTGTGACTGGACTTGTGACTGGTCTTGTGACTGGACTTGTGACTGGACTTGTGACTGGACTTGTGATTTACTTGTGGCTGAACTTGTGATGGATTTGACTTCATTCCTGACATTTTTTTATGTTCGGTTTATTTTATTTTTGGAAAGTGTCAAGAGCTGATAGTTGAAGCCCGCAAACTGATGAAGAGAGAGCTGCACAATACAAAGAGAGTCGGTACAATGAAGGTTGACAACAAGAACGTCAAAGATCAAACACAAGATGCCAAGGTTCGAATTTGTTGGAAATTGTGCGCTTCAAGACTAAACTGGATATGATTTTGTCATTCTAATCAGCCTTTAAGAGTTCTTGCAAGTTTAAAACATTAATTGAAATATTTATTGTTGAAATGTGTTGAATGAACTTATCGTATTAAATATGAAATTTCACTTATGGACACTTGCAATGTAATTTTTTTTACTTCTTTCAGGACAAGTGCCACGTCAGCGAGGGTATCTTTGCACTGCCTGAGTGTGCAGTCAGTGAAAGCATAGGGTGTCTTGTTAATCTAGCCTACCAGACATTACAAGAAGCTGGTAGTAACACACCACAATGGTGAGTTGGACATAGATTAATTTAGGGGGCTAATCATCCTTACTCGCAACAGAAGCTGAATTGTAAAAATGTCTTATTTTTATGTTTGCAGTGCCATCCAACTGTTCTACACAGTGCGAAACATGTTTGAGATATTTTGTGATGTCGTACCCACATACCACAGAGATAGTCTGGTGAGTCAACTTCTACACTTTTTCAAACGGTCATCTGGTATTTCACTGTCATCTGCTTGTTGAGCCAAAAAAAAAATGCACAGAAGCAAATGTTTCCATGTACCTTTAACAGGCATGCAACTGGGAATTTTGAAAAAAACGAGGACATTCCAAACCACCCACGACTTTGTTCAGTGTTTTTCAATTTGTAATGGCATTATTATTATTATAATTATAATTATTCATGAGAAGTAAATAACGAGGAAATCAGTGGATTCAAGGAAAAATTGCATGCCTGCTTTAACCAGTTTGCCCAAGAGGCCGTGTATACACGCAAAAGTTTTGGGTACTCCGAACCGATGACAGATAAACACGCAGGGAGAGAGTCCGGAAATATCTGTCAGCGACCCACTCGCAGCAAGCAAGGCTGGAAATATGAGTGTGCTGCCCGAGGGTGATGGCTTCAACCGGCCTGGCTTGAGGTCGAGTGAAAATATATCCCACGCCTCGTTCCGTTCTTGTCAAAATAATCTCAGCGTGAACTTGTTAAAGCAAGGATGAAATCAACAACCAAAGTAATGTTGATATTGTCTTAAAATTTCTTTACAAAAATCTTGACTTTTATATTATTTTTGCAAATTTTTCTTGTGAAACCGCAAAAGCTACCCCAGGTGTGCCCACTCCACCACAACAACTGCATGTACATCGCCCATCACCTGCTGACGCTGGGCCATCAGTATCGTCAATCCTTACCCCCGCCCCTCTGTGACGGCACATCCACATTTGTCGACCTCATCCCTGTCTTCAGGAAGCTGGCATCCGAATGTTTCTTGGCTCAAATGGTAAAAAACAGCAGCCTATGTTTTCTCATTTATACCCAGTCACCACAGCTTCCAGGCAGTAGATTTCTACTGTACCTCCTGATATGTCAGTAGAACTAAACTTCATCACCGAGTTTATTTTATTTGCGTAGAACTTTTATCCCCTTGTGAACCCTAACCCTGTCAGATGCAACACAGTGCATCAGTTGCAAACATCTGTGGGACATTGGTGCACTGTGCTTTCAAAACCAGTGCAAAAACAGCCAATTCTGAAATGCCACAGTTGTATCCTGGTGCAGTTGGTGACCACAGACTCTGAGGCAGTTTAGCCTCAGAAGCGTAAGCAGAAGTCAAACCTTTTATTAATCTCCATTTAGTTAACTTTGTAAAATCGTAGTGGCTATTGTTACGACAGCCGTAATGCGAATTTCGAATACTATCGTTACGGAATTTGAAAAAAAAATGTTACAGAGATCTTAAGTTTCAGGTTTAAATCAAATTTTTCTTTTTATTTAAGTAGATTTCATGTTCTTTCTTGAAAATTGGAGGATTTGTTGAAATAGGGAAATAAAGTCATAGAACCATTTTGTCGATTCCAACAGCCAAAGATTGTGACGTTGAATACTGGATTGACCTATTGCCATTTGCAAGTTAGCCACGCCCCTTCACAACCCTACAGAATTTGTGTACACTAAGTATTATTGTCTCAGATTTTGCGCGTTCCTCATCCATCTGTATATCATGTAATTGGACAATATTTCACAAGCTGCGTTGATGCGATTCTACCACAAAAGGTCAACTATGTCAGGAAACCAGACAGTTTTGTAACGATAGCAGTTGAAAGTCACGTTACGTCTGTCGTAACGATAAAGTGTTTCACGGTAATATGCGCCATCTTCCCCGCTGGGCAATTTTACACGCGTTCTGTGTACACATCGTCATTGGAAAGTTTTGGCGCTTCCAAGTCAACATGCGTTCAATCCAAAGTGCACCTGCGTCTAGCAACGTGTGTTCTTTGTGCCCGGCGAATAAGATAGCGCACATTACCATGAAACACCTTATTGCCATGGCGTTATTATTTCGTATGCCCTCTCCTACATGTCCTAAAACAAATTCTTTTGAATGGATATACAAGTAAGGCTTAGTTCCACCCCACTTAAATACAGTACTGGTACAATTGAATTTTCTGCATCAAATTTCAAACTTGGTAATAGGCCTGATAAATGGATTTCATAGGTTTAGCCCTAGGTGAATAAATTATTATTTTATTTCCTCAGAAAATGATGTTGACTTAACTCAGTCCAACTTGAATCTGGCTGGCGGTCGGTCCTCTGGCTGTAACATGGATCTGAAACTACAGAACCAGCTGAGTAAATACATGTACCTAGCCCCAGGTAGACAAATTTTAGGAGATAAGACCTTGTTGCACGAACACGACTAATTGCTAACTTGGGTTGTTAATGGCACATAGGGACATTTGCAATTAAACTGAAACATACCTACCGATTTAATGCTAGATTTTACCTACCTTGCTACGCCAACTTGACAACCTACCGCTTTAACTAGAAAATCCTAGCTCCAAGTGAAGATAGGACCGGTACCAAATAACCTATGAAACTATTCCGCCTGACATGGTATCATTTAGAAGAAAATAATGATTGAAGGTGCTTTTAGAAAATGTGCCCGCTGGCACATATTTTTCATGTGTTGGCAATGAAATCCAGTTATGAGACCCCTAAAATTGTGCAAACATTTTCTCTTTTTTCCGGAAATGTATAGTATCCACTGAGCTGAAACGTCAACAAGTTTGTTATGCACCCTTTTTTATGATTGAGCAATATTATTGATTCGAATGAAAACAAAACAAAAATGCACAAAAAAACAAATGTTCCTGTGTACAAAAGCAAGGATGAAAACAATGAAGAAAGTTATGTTGATATTGTCTTCAACTTACACAACAGAAATCTTGACATTTCTTTTATGGTTTTTTTTATTTTTCTTGTGAAACAGCAAAAGCTACCCAGGGTGTGCGCTCTCCACCACAACAACTGCATGTACATCGCCCATCACCTGCTGACGCTGGGCCATCAGTGTCGTCAATCCTTACCCCCGCCCCTCTGTGACGGCACGTCCATGTTTGTCGACCTCATCCCTGTCTTCAGGAAGCTGGCATCCGAATGTTTCTTGGCTCAAATGGTAAAAAAACAGCAGCCTATGTTTTCTCATTTGTACCGAGTCAACACAGCCTGGATGTGTCGGGTTTCTACTGTACCTCCTGATATTTCAGTGGGACTAAACTTCAGCACTGAGTTGATTTTATTGGTCTAAAACTGTTATCCCGTTGTTAACCCTAGCCCTGCCAGATGCAACACAGTGCATCAGGTGCAAATATCTGTGGGACATTGCTGCACTGAGCCACCAACACCAGTGCATAAACGGCCAATTCTGAAACATTGAGAGTTAGTCCCATTGAGCAATGCCACAGTGGTATCCTGCTGCAGTTGGTGACCACAGACTCTGAGGCAGTTTAGCCTTGAGATTGCCAACCTGATGGATCTTGCTACACTGAGCAGGCTTGTAGACAAGTGTTGCATGTTGCTGCGTTTAGCAGGGTTTCTAGCCTGAATACCCTGGAGGGTTAGGGTTAAGGCCAGTGTATCCTTCTTGGCTACGCCAATCCTAAGTTTTGACATCACAACAGGTATTCATCCCACAGATTACAAAAGTTGCAACACATTTCAACTGCAGCAAATATCACTTTGAATGTTATGTGCAATGTGCATTGCACTCACATTCAAGCGAAATAAATAAACTCTCCTTATCCTGTATTTGCATTACCGCTTCTATGTTGCAGAGAATTCAGCGAGATCAATTAGTGGAGAATCTGTCTGGTGCTGAGGGCTTTGACCAAGTAGCCACTGACGACAACTTCTTGGCATGTGAGAGGGCCATTAAACAAGTACGTTCGGCAATAATCCAAAATTTTAGGCCAAGTGAAAAAAAAATGCCAGGACCCGCTTCCTTTTTCCTGCTTGCTTCCTTTGTTGTGTTTTGTTATTCATACATTTACAAAATAATTTACAAATGCATTGTCAAATGTATTTGTTTTTAATGAAATTTGTGGAAGGGGTTACAGCTCCTTCCGAGACAATTTTGTACCAGCAAAAGAGTCAAGAAAATGGATTAATCAATTCATCATCTTGGAAAATCAACCATCTTGGGGGGGGGGGGGTTGCCCGCCTCCTTAATTTTTTTCAAAGGGCTTGGACGATAAACTATTTTTGTTTTTTTTACTCGTCCTTATCTCGGACTTGGATTTCCACATAAGAATATTCAAATATTCAATTTTGTTGATCAAAATGAAGTCAAAGTAAAGTTTCACCTCTGCCTTTTTGGCTAGGAATCTTCCCAAATCCTTTAAAGAAATCCTCCATTTTGCATTTCTGAAAATTACAGCAGAAGCAATGTTGTATATTAAGCCTTTAACAGGCACGATTTTGTCTGAAATCAGACCTTTTGAATCTGAGAGAAAGACATTACCGGTCTCGAAAGGAATGCATCTTTCATACCATATATCCACTTTTTAAGACCTGTTCTTTTGAAATTGGCAATCTCATCCCTGTCTTTATCCCAATGCAGGTTGTCCATCAGTTGGGTCACCTCCAGCGAGTCTGGACCGACATCCTCCCCAGTAACATCTTCACCAAGGCCATGTCTACACTCATCAACACGGTACTCATGCACATCGTGGAGAAAGTCTCGTCACTTGAGGTGAGAAGATCCCTCAAGTATTTGACTGTTTCATGCACGTATGTCGTAAAGAACACACAACTGATTGAATTCTGTACAAACCTCTGGCGTCTTGGCATGGGCGTCAGGCGCTGTTGGCAATGCATTAGATTGTCCCTCCCAGTGGTCTCCCTGAACTCTCCTTTTGAAAGTGTGGAGGTGGTACTTGTGCATGGAGTGCATAGGCTGCCAACAAATTCCTAACTCAACATGTCTTAGGGACGATTGTTAAGCTGTGGCAGGAGCTTCTACATGTCACTTGGTGGTCAGTTGGTCGGTCTGTCTGTCTATCCCCAAAAATTGACCAAAAATCTTTGACCCAAAATTGAAAAATTCCATGTCGTTGTCAGTAAATGCACTCTTGACGAAAGTTATCGGAAAACGAGGTTTGTCTCGATCGATGCGTATGCGCATCTATTTTGCATATGTCTGTCCTCGGAAAATTGAGCAAAAGCTAGCTCCCTAAGTTTCCAAAATAATGTAACTACAACATTTTCGCAAACAAAAACAGTGATATAGTTAACAGAAATTGTTTGTAACATTTTGTAAAGTTGTTTATGAAATTTTGTAAATGGAGGCAAGATAATAATGCTTAATAATGTTAATAGTCACGTAATGTGTAGCCCGTTATTTTCAGCTCGTGATTTTCACGTGAGACGGCTGCCCGGGCTTGTTTTTATGCACAATCATTTCATGTTAGGTGACCAGAGCTTATTGTGCACTCACACTTGTTTCGTCTGTCATATCCTTGTGGAATACTGCCACTAATTGGTTAGAACATTTTTGTTGTTGCTCAACTTGACAGGACATCTCAGCTGATGATGCGCAGCAGTTATATCCGTTACTCTCGGGACTGCAAGACAGAATTCCACACTTGATCAAACCAGGAGAAGATGAGGTAAGAAAGCAATTCCTGAATCTAATTTGTTTGTTGTTGCAGAATTTGTTGATAAGATGTTAGGTGGCCCACGAAGTGATGTATATCATGTGTTGAATAATGCACAGTGTGTTGCTTTGTGCATACCAAACATAAACACAAATGTTGGTTGTTTGTTTTTAACAAGCACATTCTGTTGAATGCAAACAACACATTACCGTTGAGATGTGCATTATTTCACATTAAAAAAATGAATCACTGTGGTTTTTGTTAGGTGTGTAGCAGACTACTCCATAGCTTAGAAAAGTGTATGATCTCTGTATATATTGTTGCAGAGGATGGACACGACCGATAATGCATTGCTTGAACGATACGTGATTACCATTGCAAGCTTATGCTTCATTTGCTCATAAATTGCCCACAAATCCACTTTTCAAACAACTAGAAGTACATGGGCGTCGCGAGGGGAGGGGGGGCAAGGGGGGGCACTTGCCCCCCCCCCCTGGAAAAGCCCAACAAACAAAAAAGGAAGAAAAAAAAAGGAAGAAAAAAAAAAGAAAAGAAAAAGAGGCGCGAAGACAAAGTGTGTAAATTTAATGAGTTGGGGGGGGGCAAAATGTCCCTGCCCCCCTCTAAAACTGATAAATCGAGAATGTGTTGAGAAATACAAGCATTATTGGGCAAACAATTGTTTGCCCCCCTCTAGAAAAAATCCTGGCGACGCCCATGTAGAAGTGTATTCCTTATTGTAAAGGAGGTTGACTGTTCGTATTTGGATTGATGCGTAGGAACCAGTTTTGGTGCAGAGTACCGTTGATCAGTGGACGTCATTCAGCGAGATGCTGTTTATGTTAGACGCCAGCATGCAAGATATTGTTGACAGGTGGGCGGAGGGCAAGGTGAGATACAACACAAATCAGATTCAAATTATAAGCTGGAAAATTCTTTCAGGTTGAACAAAGAAATTGACTGGAGTGGGGTTTGGACCTATGACCTCCGGATTGTCATTCCAGTGCTCAATCAACTGAACTATCTAGCCCTATGCTGGCAGTTCCCCATTTGTAATAATAAAAGTTGTATCTTGTCTGAGTGATCCCCGTTTGGTATTTGTAGGTTTGCAGCATTGCTAATGTTGCTAGCATCGTGACTTAGGGCGTGATCCCTGGCTACATGGTATATGTAGGATTATGGCTTCTGACTAGCGCCCCTTGAACAAAGACATTGACAAACCACCAACATTGGGCTGGATAGCTCAGTTGGTATTAGCACCGGAATGGCAATCCGGAGGTCTCAGGTTCAACCCCTGCTCCAGTCAATTTCTTTGCTCAACTTTAAAATTAAAAGCATTGTTTATTTTGGGAACTCCTCTTCTTGTCTAGTTGTTCTTTAAACATTTGAGACTGTGATTCTCTCCGTCATTCCAGGGACCACTCGCTATGGTGTTCAGCGCCAGTGACGTGAAGAGCCTGATACGGGCCATCTTCCAGAACACCGACAGACGAGCCACAGCGCTCGCCAAAATCAGATAGGACCAGCCGGGAAAGTAAGCTGAGTTCAAGGCATATAGGATCATTTGCCATCATTTCATGAACTGGACCAAATTTAAGGGCTAATAATTTATAGCTGACGTCGTTCCACTGAGCTGTTCAATGTATTGTGTCTCCATGCTGAAAAACCATGAAAAAAAGCTGTTCTTTTTCAACCCTCAAAGTGCAGTTTGTAGAATCTGTCATGCATAGAACCCATAGGTCACAGGGTGTGCCTGAGTGCCAGCTCTGTCAGGGGAAAGTAATGCACAGATATATGTAGTGTACCCAAGTATATGCATGAAGTCAACAGCCAACTCACAGCTGTTAAACGGATGTAGTATTTTAGATAACTGTCTGTTCTCAGCGATGGTTGGGTCCATATGATAGGCAGAGTGTGATATGGACCATGGTATATGAGATATTATCTTCAAATAAACTTGAATCCTCGATCCTGATTGGTGAATCCATGGCAACAAGCCGTGCTACATATAACAATGTAGCACGGCCACAGTCCATACTGCACTCCGCATATTGCACTATTCTAAGATGCGCTCGCCATTCCATACGAACATGAACAGCGGCATGTGTGTTTCATCTTACTGTGCCTCAAGTTTGCTTAAAGATAAATTTGTTATCGCGCTCACGCTCGTGGAACACAAGAAATGCAGTGCGTCTTTGTCCCACATACCACTCAGCCGAATGTGGGACACAGACACACTGCATTATTCCGTGTTCCACTCGCACTCGCGGAATAACTAATAATACCACATTGTTGCCATGGATCGACCAATCAGGAACTAGTCATGGCGCCTTTCATTTGCAAACATCAAAAACCAAAACTGCCAAGTTATTATGAATTATCTTGACTGTTAGTGAATAATAGTCTCAAGCATCCTGTGAAATAACGGCACCTGGTGTGCTGTCATTTTCAAGAAAAGTGGGATTTTGTATCAATTTCCACCGATGGTCGGCCCTGTTTGAGAGAGAAGCTTGACTTTCTGTCTGTTTCCATCCATCTACTGTTGCCGTATACCTAGATGTAGAACAAAAAGATATATTGCAATAGCTTTTTTTCCCACGTGCTGCATCTCTTTGGAATTCCTTGCCTGGTGCTTATTTCCCTCCAACCTATGATCTGTCCTGCTTCAAGAGGAGTGTGGAGTGCTGTGGCCTCGTGGTTAAGGGCGTTGGATTCGTGGTCTGCGGGTAAAGCTGCAGGTTGTGGGTTCGAGTCCAGCCTGGGGTTGTGGTGCGTGTGCCCTTGGGCAAGGCACTTTGTCACTCATTGCTTCTCCCCACCCAGGAGTAATAGGCTATCAGCTTTGGTCCAAAAAATGGGCCACCGGTACCAGACGATTGAAAAGAGCAATGCTCATAGCGATTTTTTGAAAGGCATATCTAGAGTTGGAGAATGTGTGATAGCTTTGCAGTGTGAGTGGTGGCAGTTTTTTGGGTGTTATCACTTTTGATTTGTGTTTTCATTCAAAATGGCCGTACGTCAATATGCTTGAACCAAATAAATTATATGTGGTAATTACAAGCATGTTTTGGCCTCCATTTTAAAAAAGAAAACGAGGGATAGTACCCAAAAAGCTGCCACCGCTGCAATGCTATCGCATATTTTTTGACTAGAGGGGTGCATACCTTGCCAAAAATCACAATGAGCATTATTCCCCTCATTTGATACTGACCAAACTTCCACACTGATGGCTTATAAGTGGGTGCCTATGAGGGCAGAGATGGTGTGGTTGATTTAGGTGCTTTGCTCTGACTTGTAGCCCTGTATATCTGGAGTGGCTTTTAGCCTTGTTCAGGGCGAATAGGCATAAAAAAAAAAACAAGTCTAAAACCCAGATGGGGATCTTTCTGTGCCTCCTAGACCACTGTTTTGGTGGGGAACACTTGGTTTTACCATGAATTAATTGGAGTGGGGTAATCGTTTCTCTTGTTTTCCAGATTTTTATGCTCATTCAGAGTGAGAAGATCAAGAATGACTACACGTGTCTCTGGTTGGCAAGATGCTGTGAGTATTACCGTCAGTTGTTAATGACATTTCTTCTTCCAACTTCAAAGTTGCTAATTATGGGAATGAATCTACCTGTTATGCCTCAACTCATAATGTATTGACCATGCACTCACAATTGTGACTGCACAACCAAATGTCCAACTAAAGTCACGACACGTCGCGTGCATGCATTTCATGTACTGCTGGAAAATCCAGAGTGGCATTAGGGAGATGCACATGTTGCCCATGTGTGAGGTAGACTGAAGGGTCTCTAACAATGACATAACCAGCATGCAATCATCGCCCTGATCGTATATTAAGGACGTGACTTGGTGTTTCATTGTGTAAACGTTAAGCAAATATTTTAAGAACCGTTTTTAACGTTTAGCAATTGACAGTGGCTTTTGCCTACCCATTATGTCTGATCTGCAGACCGGCGTGATTGACATGATAAATCAACAATGGTTGACATAGTAAATAGCGGGCAGTCGTTGATAAAGTAAACATGTTCTACCTGTTCCCCAAATGTAATCAATTATGAGGTGCTTCTAAGGTTTTGTAAATTAAGTAGGTTTGAAAACAACGTTAATTATTTGTGCTACATATATGTGTGGTTGTCTCAAAGGAAGATCGAGTGAACGGAGATCCCTTTTATATAATTCGGGTTTTGTTTAAATGTTTTGAAAAATTAGTAAACGGAGTAAGAAGTTTTTTTGTTTCATACGTGTAAACGTCACATCTTAATCCTATATTTGCCATGTTGGATTTGTTCTATCACATTTCAAGCAGATTGTACGACAGAAATTTGCCACATTGAACATCCCTCTTGGCTCCCAAATATTGTACACAGTTACACTGAGCATTCCTGGCCAAAAATTGCTGAAATGAGCATCCACTGAACCGAACCATCTTTTGTGGACCCCAATGTGTTTTCTTACAGCAGTATCCTATGTATTTATAACCTTTCTTTGTGTTGTTTTTGTTGTTCAGACATCATGAATCGTAAGGCCAGACTAGCCTGGGAGTTGTACCTTAAGATGGAGACGTCTGGCGAATCGTTCAGCCTGCTGCAGCTCATTGCCAACGACGGCTACAAGGTAAAACATCATCCCCTATTTTTGTCCGTTGTATGTTTGGTCAAGATTTTGGCATTAGCCCCAAATTAGTATCCAGTCACTCAATCTCAACCTGCAGCCAATTTCTCGAAACAGATTTGTGACTTCGTCCAAACGCAAATGGTAGAGGAGACATAAATCTAAATATAACGCATGTGTAGAAAAGAATGCAGTATGCAGACGCTACTTCAGTGGTTGTGTACAAAGTCTATGGAGAGTCAAGAAAACTTTCCAAGTATTTCTGAACCAAATTGGAAGTGTTTCTCAGTCCCAGATTCATGTTTGTGAAACATTTTTGCAATGACTGATCTTTATTGAGATGATGTGTGAAGACAAAAGTGGCGTCAGGTTGCAACATTGTTTCCCACGTGTAAAATCAACGAGAATACGAATCCCCGTCAAAAAAAGAAAAAAATGATTCGTTGCACATTTACCACTTTGTGTCATTAGCTTGAATAATGAAGGATGCACTTTTGTGTCCCAACTTTGGTAAGCATGTAGAGGGCATCATAAAATATAAGAATAGCCAAAAATCCCAAACTGCTTAAAATATTGATTTTTGGACAATTTCAACACGGTGGGATATGATCGAAAATTCAGGCTTTCTAAACTTCTGGTTTTTTTGCTCGACCTCAAATTGGAATTGTCAAGGTCTCCTCTCAATTTTCATATTCCAACTTTTCTGTCGGTAGATGGGCCAGTTCTACTATGCTTTCGATGTCCTGGAAAGATTGGACCCCAATCCTGAATACTGGGAAGGCAAGCGAGGGGCGTGCGTGGGCGTATTCCAGCAGATCATTGCTGGTCATGAACCAAGGTGGGTGTCATCTCTGTCAATCAGCAGTGCACACTGACCAATTAGATCTCAAATTCTGGTCAGGTGACTACAGTACATCAATCAAACGGTGCACACTGACTAATCAGATCTCAACCTTTGGTCAGGTGACAGTCAGGTGACCACAGTACATCAATCAAACAGTGCGCACTGACCAATTACATCTCAATTAGTATATCACTCCGGTGCTCTACCAACTGAGCTATCCAGCCCAATGTTGGCGGTTCCCTAATTGTCAATGTCTCTGTCAAAGGGGCGCTAGTCAGAAGCCCTCAACCCGCATATGCCATGCAGCCAGGGATCACGCCCAAAGTCACGATGCAGACCTGGGAAATATAAAAACGGGGATCACTCAGAGAGGATATGGCTTTTTATTACAAATTTTCATGAATACTTTTCAACTTCTTAGCCCTCTAGTTCAAATTCATTGATCTTTATGGATTTTTCCTTTTTTCCCCGAAATTCTATAAACAGCTTTCATTTTCACTATTAGGTTTTGCCCTTCACCGACTTATAAACACTGTTTACTCAGTGCGTTACCTCCCGAGTTAAAGTTGGAAAAGATCACTCGGTTGGGACTCGAACCCATGACCTCCTGCTTTCTAGTGCAGACATCTTACCACTGGACCACCAATCTCGTAAGCTCGGTGGTCGAGTCATGGGTTCAAATCCCACCTGAGTGATTTTTTTCCAACTTTCACTTGGGAGGTAACACACTGAATATACAGTGTTTATACGTCGATGAAGGGCAAATCTTAATATTGAAATGCATCACCCGACGCAAAGTCCATCTTGTTAATAGCATTCATTTGTATGTGCACAAAACCCAGTGAAGTTCAAGCCACTAGATTTTTGTCATTTTTTTTCCTCTACAGAGAAACACTGCGAGACATCCTCCAAATCTTGCGCAACACCGGTAACCCGCAGATGGAATACATCATCCGTGTCATGAAGAAGTGGGCCAAGGACAACAGGGTACCAGTTTCCTGAGGGGGTCCCTATCCTAGTCTTGAGATTGTTTAGATTTGAACATCCCAAATGTCCTGCTTCGCAA